TCCATTTTAATGCTTTAAACCCATTCACACACTTGATATTTGAGTTTAGCAAAGTTCCACAACTGATAGGAGACCCTTAGCACCCTTAAACGCTACCCGGGACACCCAAACACTTAGCCAAAGTGTTTTCCGCTCCTTTGAGCGTGTATATTTGTTTAATTAGTATTAAATATACTAATTGTATGTGAACATATGATATCATATGTTAAATAGGTCATTGAGTGTGTTCGAGTCCTTAGGTGGCACCGAACGCCCAAACAGCACTCCCGTTGGACCTACTTACACCAGGTGAGTTCATACCCCTGAATGAACCTTTTAATGTTTTTAAATGTTTTATAGGGGGAATACAAGTTAAACATGCCAGTTATCATGTCAATCGCATGTGATTGATAACCCGCATGCACAAGATTTTACCACTTTACACTGTTTTACCGAGTGGGACACTATAATGACCTTTACTTGTTTCATAACTTTTACTTATACTGATTTATCCAAATTCATTCTAAATTGGTTTATGAAAGATCCTCTAAGGTTTTTAAACATATTTTACAAAAGAATACAAATTGTGATTTTCTCTGTACATAAAGGCTTTTCATTAAAGATTTCCCCGTTAGACGTATATTTTTACTTGTTAAATACTACTGCTTCGCTTATACTCATTTTATACTCCGACTCGGTAACGCTTTCACTTATACTTATAGTCGCGTATACCTGGTGATGCTTATACTTATTCACGCTCTTACTTAGTGATACGATTCTTCTTCACTTATACTTGATAACGACTCTACTTCACTTATACTTGATACGCTTTTGCTTCACTTATTGTCGCCTCTACTTCGTGATACGCTTATACTTGTTCGACACTTCTACTTCACTTGCGACCGCTCCTACTTCACTCGTTAGACACTCCTACTTCACAAGAATCACTTATACTTGATACACTTATACTTTACGATCCTGTTATTCCACACTGTATGAATTCACACCACGATGATATGTATTCAATTATTACACACTCAGTCGTAGTTAGATGTACGTCTGTGCTTATATAGATACATAAAAAAACGATTAAAGGATTTATGAAGGTTCATCCGCCCTATTTCCTTTTCTTCGTTGAGATGTGGTCTGGTGGGATCGGGTGGCCGTCCGAAAGTCGTTTGGTTCATTAGTTATATACTATGTATATGAGTATGGACATACAGGAAGTACTCTAGTCAGTTCTGTGAAGAGTCTCTACCTCTAATCTACTCTTACATTAGAAACCCACTCCCTCCTAGTAACACACTATCCTCTATTTGGGATGCATCTTCAGGACGCAGCCTTCTCCATCGTCTAGTTGGTAACCAGAGTCTCCTGTAGGGAGAGCGGACATTGTGTGTATAGGCCTATACGGGATTGATAACCCCGCACCCTGACTGCTAGCTACAGTCCACGGACTACCAAGCCAAGGGGTGACAAATGTCACATTATATAGATGCTTGTAGGGCGTCGAGAACTCTAGTCAGTATGGTTATGAGTATCCTGGGTTGCCTTATAATTCATGGCTTTAAGGTAACGGTATTTCGTCAGTGATTTACACTGTATGCTGATGTCACCTTTTTCAGAGTCACACTGTTTGACCTTGCTAGATGTGTCTTTCATGTGATACTGTCTGCGGTCTGTAGTCTCTGTTTTGACCTTGCGATATGTAGCTTTCATTTGGTATCGTCCGCGGTCTGTCTTCACTATTTTGACCTTGCGAGATGTACCTTTCATTTGGTATCGTCTGCGGTCTGTCTTCACTGTTTTGACGTTGCGAGATGTACCTTTTATTTGGTATCGTCTGCAGTCTGTCTTCACTGTTTTGACCTTGCGAGATGTACCTTTCATTTGGTTTCGTTTGTGGTCTGTCTTCACTGTTATGACCTTGCAAGATGTACCTTTCATTTGGTATCGTCTTCGGTCTGCGTTCACTGTTTTAGACCTTACCAGCTGTACCTTTCATTTGGTACCTTCTGGGGTCTGTGTCTCTATTTGTTAGACTGAACCAGGCACGACGTTAGTTCGATACTCCCCTGGAGTCTATGAATCTTTTGCCTTAGCCAGCAGTCCTCACTGCTGAGGCATATGTTATTCCCTGATGCCTCTTGCTTTCTTTAATAATCAAATTCAGTATTTTGATAATAATAGCAATTAAGGGAAACTTCTTTTACCATATTACACTGACCAGTCTTGGTAGAAGGTTGCTTTTGTTAAAGAAAATATAGGATTTTCTGGAAAGAACACTAATACACTGAAAACACTTAAACTACTGCTTTATAAAGTTATTTGACTAAATGACACTAAATACTTATGAACTCACCAGCATTTGTAAAAATGTTGATACTCGCTTTTCAAATAACTTGTATTCTCAGGTTAGCATTAGACAGGTACATCCCCAGAGCTGTTGATGAAGATAGCTAGTACCATGCTGTATTTATTCTATTACTTGTATTATTTTTAAATCGTTGTAATGAAACCTTGTAAAACTATTACTATTAATGCAATGTTTTGTTGTACTTTGATTACTATATTGCATGTGTTGTGATACTTGACATGACGTCATCCACCCCAAAACGTTTCCGCCGTTCCGGTTTTGGGGTGTGACAGTTGCTTAAAGCGTTTCTTAAAACTCATGGGAAAGAACCAACACTTGTTTTAACTGATCAAGACGATGCAATAAAACAAGTTGTTGAGAATGTGTTTTGTAATTCAAAGCACCAATTATGTATGTGGCATATAATGAAAATGTTGAAAAAAAAAGTATTATTTTAATATATTTCAAATATATTACTTATTAGTATATTCATTTATGAATATTTATTGTTATTTTACTTATTATTATTTATTCATTTATGAATATTTTTGTTTAAATACATATATCAGATGATTTATTTACTAACACAGACTTTAGAAAAAGGTTTTCAAAGCTTGTTTGGGACATTAATATGAAATCTGATGTTTTTGAGGCGAAGTGGGGTTTGCTTATGAAGGAATTCAATCTTGAAGACACAAGATGGTTTAAAGACATGTTTACAATACGTGATTCATGGATACTTGGATATTTTAGTGATATTCCAATGTATGGTTTGATGAAGACTACATCGAGGTCAGAGAGTATGAATTCATTCTTTAATACATACTCAGAAAGTAGGAACTTACTTTTGAGTTTCATGATGAATTACGACACTGCCATTCAAAAGCAAAGGAATACTCAACGAGATCTTGATAAGGCATCAAAGAAAGCATCATATAAAATACAAACACCTCGAGAAATAGAACTGCAAGCATCAAAGGTTTATACAAGTACATTATTTTTTGAGGTGCAAAAAGAAATATATAAAGCATGCTTTTCTGTACATTCTCATATGTTGGTATTGAAGATGGTTGGGAAGTTTACATTGTGCAGCACAACAACGGTAAAAGTGATTTTAAAAAATGAATTTAAGGTAATTTTACTAGTTTTTTATGAAAAATGTAATAATATTCATATATGAATGTGAGAATATTCATATATGAATATGAGAATATTCATATATGAATATTATATGAATATATGAGTGTTGATATGAGTATTCTTATATGAATGTAAATGTGTAAATTTTGTTTTTGTATCAGGTTGAAATAAAAGCTGAAGAAAAAGAAATAAATTGCAGTTGTGAACATTTTAAGCATATGGGTATTTTATGCAGACATGCTTTTACAATAATGATGAGATATGGTGTTAAAGAAATTCCTGAAAGGTACATTTTGAAGAGATGAAGAAAGGATGTGATATCAAGAAAATATCGTTTTAGTTCTATTCAATCCGATTCAAGTGATTGTGAGAATGTAAAGCTAGTCAATGATTCATATTATAGTTTTGAATCATGTTTGGATATTGTAAGATATGACAAAAAGAGATTGGCTTTGTTTGCTGAGAAGCAACAAATGTTGTTGAAGGAATTTGAGAGTGATTATATTTCTCCTGGATTGAAAAGAAAGACAGATGGTGAAGTTGTATGCAAGCTTTTGGGTGTTACTATTCCTATTCCAGAAGAGATTAATATTCATGTTCCTGAAGTTCAAAGCAATAAAGGTTCTGGAGTCAAGAAAAGAATTCCAAGTGCAGGTGAAGTAACATATGAAAATTCTAAAAAAGAACATAGAATGTATTCAGGATGTGGAAAACGAGTTCCACACAATTTACGTACTTGTACAGAAAGAGTTGGAGCTGATAAAGCAACAAAAGACAGTTAGCGATAAAAACAATAAACAATAGTATTCATGTATGAATAATACACATTTATAATGATATGGTAAATTGATATGTTGATATTTGTTTTTAAATTACTATAAAATAAGTTATATTGATGTTGTAAATTATTCATAAATGAATAAAAATATGTGAAATTTGTTATACTAATAAATATGTATATTCATATCTGAACTTTTTTATGTTAATATCTGAACTTTGTTATACTAACATATTAATTTGAACTTATTCATAAATGAATATATCATATTTGTATTCATTTATGAATAAATAAAAATAAAGTTTGAAAATATTTGAATATAAAAAAGGACATAAATAAGCAAACTTGTTTCTACTAATAAGTTAGTTATATTCATATATTAAATTTGTTATATTCATATATAAACTTTGTTATGCTGACATATTACTCCAAATTTAATCATAAATTAATATATCATATTCGTATTCATTTATGAATAAACATAAATAAACTTTAAAAATATTAAAATATAAAAAACTGACAGAAATAAGTGAAGTTATTTCTATTACATAATCATTCAACACAAGATAATAAAAGCTGTTCATAAGCATTTCACAAAATATTAAAACGCTGTTCAACAACATTTAACAAACCATTTAAAACTTGTTTTGCAAAATCATCTTACATGTACTTCAAATCCATTCATCTTCAACACAAACTATTCTATAGCATCACACTTCAACATTCTTTCATCTTCACAAGCAATCATCAATATTCTTTTAACCTTTTTTGAATTGTTTGCATAGCCTTGTATGCATGATCAGTACGCACTTTGAATTCAACTTTTTGATATTTTTCAGCAAGATCCACCACCTTAGCCTTCAATATGTTAATATTAGAAGTTAGCATTATGTGTGCATATCTTTGCCTGAGCTTCTAAAAAGTAGTTTGCTGAATTGCACTTTCTGTATGAAGACCTAGTTTCCACTTTGAGAGTGGTTGTCCCATATAGGTCTCAATATGTCTCATTTCAAAGACCCTACAATCAACTTTGTTTTTAACTATTCTCCACGACATTTCAAGTCGTTGGGGTTTGATACTTTCTTTTGAGGTTTCATTTGCTCTTGGATTGTTTATTTCTTTAAAGTATCTCACAAAGAAATTTTTATGATCATTAAATAAAATAAAAGTTAGATATGTAATAAATTGGTTATTTTATGTTGTTGTGAATTGGGTACATACCAAATGTTTCAATATTACTCCGTATTTTCCTTCATAATTCCCCTCAACTACACTACTGTCTAGAATTTCAATTCACAGTTTCTTTAAGTTGAAGACAATCACAAAAATGTGAGCACTTCTAACAACTGGAAAGAATACATGTTTTTATGTATATAATGGTAATTATGTTGCTGATAAAATATATATTAAAAAACAACTTTAATTAACATACCATGTCAATATCATTTATGTTCAAGATTTTTTTGTACCCATTGGTACTCTCATGAAAGTTCTCCTTGAATTTTTCATACTTTCTTTCATTAGACAATGTTGAAGTTAGATAAGCAGTCTGTAACCAATATAATCATATGTGAATTTCAATTGAATATATATATAATTATGTCAAAGAATATATCATATTTGTATAATCATATGTGAATTTCAGTTGTAAAAAATATATAATATTCATAAATGAATACATCATATTGGTGTATTCATTTATGAATAAGGAAGGAATTAAGTTTAGAACATAAACTTACACAAACTCCAACTTTCAAGAAAAGTCTATATGGTGTATTTCTAAAATCCCTTTCCAGTTCTTGGTGGTTAAGTAAATCAGACCAAGTGTCTAAAACTTCTCCAAAAATCTATGTGTTTGCATATAGACTTTCCATAATTACCCTTTCTATTATCTGACCATATTTTGTCTGGACAACCACATCTCTGCAAAATATATAATCAAAATTTCATAGATTATTATCTATATAATAATCATATATGAATGTATATAAAATAAAGTTACTTACGATGTATTGCCTTGTAAGCTGAACAGCCATTCACAGACAATACTCTCCTGATGTGTCAGTTTGGGTTTTGTGTCTGTTATTTTGCACTTGAAAGGTGATTTGAAAGCATTAGCAAGTTTCTTCTCTCTTGGTTGATCCAGATCATGTTTTGATGGTCCTACTTCAGTAGGAATTGATACAAAGATTGGATTTGGATTAAGAACATTTTTCTTTGCTAATCTGATAACAACCTTCTGATGGATGTCTTTAATTTGTTTCTTTGTAAGTGGTTTTTTTGGTGAAGATTCATTAGATTTTTTACTTGAAGTTTGATATGAATCTTGACTAAGACCTGGACTAAAGCTTGGATGAGTATCTGCATGCCAGGAGATTTATCATATAAATAGTTGTAAGTTAATTATAATATTTGAGTTTATATTTTGAAATGTTTATCCAAATTGTTACCTCCTTTATTTCCTTTTGTCTTGTCAGCTTTTTCTCCTTTCTTGTTTTCATTTTTTTGACTTTTTCTTTCCTGAATGATAAAGAACTATAATTAAGTAATTCATATGTAAATAAGTAATGTATTCATTTATGAATAAGTAATGCATATCATTATTTATGAATAAGAAATATTAAAATTTTATTTTTTTTATATTGCGTTATTTATTTGTGAATAATAAAACTTATTATGTTAATTTATTAAATTGATTCAACTATTTACCTTTATCTTCTGCATTTCCTTTCTCAGTTTCTGTATGTTTTTCTTCACCTCCATCTTTCGTGTTCTTAGCTTCTGTTCCTCCTTCATTTCTATCTTCAGAGTTTTCCTTGCTTGAAACATATACATCATATATGAATATTTTTTTTATTCATTTATATAGTGTATTATTCACTTATGAATAAACAATGTTATTAAAAAAATCAATATAAATATTGTAATATATTTTAAGTCATTCATTTACCTGTATCATCTCCCTTTGTTTTTTCAACTTTTGTTCCTTGTTCATGTACACCTTCTGATTTTTCCTTTTCTACAAGAGTATTAGTTTTACATGTACTCATTGGTGACCCTGGTCAAAAGTTAACAAACAAAATTGTTATTGTGTATTAATATTTTTTTTATATTTTTTTAAAATAAAAGTAAGACAAAATATAGCTATATCAATATTATCGAAATAGTTTTCATTTCAGGGTGATTCAAGATTTCATTTTCTTGACTATTTAAACTTGAAATTCCAATTCCAAGGACATTGTCCACAATGTTATCAACAACTTTATCCAATAAATTTTCATTTTCAGTTTGTTGAATAGTCTCCTCATGATTATTTGTTTCCTCAGCATGATCATCTTTTTCCTCTTCATCATTCTCATTTTCATTCCTCTTTCCATCTTTCTCATTTAATCCAATTTCACCTTTTTTTTTATTCTTATCTGCATTATTCTTTATTTCTTCATTATCTGCTTCATTTGAATCAAGCAAATAATCTACTTCTGGTTGACTTGCACCATTATCACTATCTTCTTCACCATTTCCCTCTTTATCTTCATTTTCTGTTTGATCATTTGTTTTTTGACCCATTATTGGTGTCAAATTGATTCCTTCAACTCCAGTTTCATTAATTGGAAAATTAAAAAGTGTTTTGCTTTCAGTTTTTTCTTTAACAATCATATTTGTCATCTTTTCTTTGAAAATTCTAAAACTTTCCTTTTCAGGGAACTTTGTCATCGATTAAGCTTTGAATTCAGCTTTTCCTTCATCCTCTCAAAACTAATAATCATTTTTGATATTTTTGATTCATATGCTTATCTAAAAAAACAAGTATATGATTAGAATTTAATATAATAATTTAATGTAATCATATATTATTAACATGTTCAAACTAATTACCTCAACAGAATGATCTTCATCTTTATCATAATCATTGTCTTCGAGATCTGCATTTCCTTCATCTTGTTCATCAACAAATTCTTCATTTATTTCTCCAAGTCCAAATTTACCTTTTTCTTGTTCAAATGCCTCTTGATATCTAATCTTCTCTGAACTCCAATAACAAATTGTTGGACGTTTACGTGTTACTGTCAAAGCTTCTGAGTGGATGTTATCAGCATAGAACAACTCCACATGAATGATAAATAATTGATATTCATAAGTAATATTATTTTTTTATTATTCATATATGAATAAGTAATGACTTATTCATATATGAATAAGTAATGTAAAGCATTATTTGTTAAAAAATATATTTTTCTTATTCATATATGAATATTTGCTATTAGTTTATGAATCATCAATATTATTAAAAATTGAGTATAAACATTAAAATAACTTACCACCAAGAAAGCTGAAGGTCTAACAAAGAAGCTGGTATTTGAGTATGGTATGTATGAGTTTTTTGTTCTGAAAAGACAGTCCAAAACATAGTTGCTCCAGTCTATGTTGCTGATATCCGTTCTTCTTGAAATATAACTCAAGGGAAACAGGTCGCATCTTCCCATTGATGTTGACTCGCAAAATGTGTTGACAAAAAGAACTAAGAAGTTCAATTTGAAATTGAAATCAGCTTGTGTGGTAGAAACAGTAACATTTTTTATTGCACTCAGTCGGATGATTGAATCTTTTTTTTAAATTGTTGCTTCCATTCATCATAACTTGTATCATCCTTAGTTCATTGATCCAGTTGTGTAAGTTTGGTTCCACCAATTGGTATGCCCAACATGTCATGAACAGACTCTGCTGTTACTTTCAGTTCCTTTCCTTCAATACCTATCACCATTCTCTCAGAACCAAATTTTTGAAGAACATAAAATCCCAGCTTCAGTGGTATATCTGTGATTTTCATTTTTAACAAAGCTCCAAAACCCATAGATCTTATGGATTCTTTTTGTTCTTTGCTCATCCCAAGGATTATAGATAGTATTGCCTCTGGTGAACATCTATTTTTCATTGAGTAAAATTCTTTTACCATTGTTTTTTTTTTGTCTTTTTTGATTGGTGAGTCCCCTTTTTTTGCCTTCTTCAATGGATGACTACTTTCAAAATCAGAATCTGAATCTTGTAGTTGTTGTTTTTCAGGAGTTTTCCTTTTTGATGGACTTTTTCTACTTTGATGCTTCATTTTCTTTGGTACTTTTGTTTCTTTTTTATTTGGTAAATGAAAACATATAATATTTGAATAAGTTACTGATATATGAATATGATATATGCTTGTTTATTTATTTATTACAAAAATATATACAATTTTATTCATATATGAATAAATAATATATACAATTTCATTCATATATGAATATACTAGATATGATAGGAATTTTGTACCTTTCACATTTTTCCTCTTTTGCATTGATCTTGTTTCTCTGATTGTTGGTGAATCTTTATTGGAAGTGTTAGTGTTCTTACCTTTATTCAATAGTAAGTAGAAGGTAAATGAGTTTGATATTCACGAATGAATATTTGAATAAAACATATGTATTCATATTTTTTTTATTCACGTATGAATCTGTTTTGTTACATTCATATGTGAATAGAACATATATAAAAGTCATTATTGTTGTATTCACATTTGAATAATGTATGTCTGACAGCAAGCTATCTTTTATTTATATGTGAATATAACATACATATTCAAGAATGAATATTTGAATAAAACATACGTATTCATATTTTTTATACACATATGAATATGTTTTGTTATATTCATATGTGAATAGAATATATATATATATATATATATATATATATATATATATATATATATATATATATATATATATATATATATAAGTCATTATTGTTTTATTCACATTTGAATAATGTATGTATGGCAGCAAGCTATCTTCTATTCATATGTGAATATAACATACATATTCATGAATGAATATTTGAATAAAACATATGTATTCATATTTTTTATTCACATATGAATGTGTTTTGCTACATTCATATGCGAATAGAACATATATAAAAGTCATTATTGTTGTATTCACATTTGAATAATGTATGTATGGCAGCAAGCTATCTTCTATTCATATGTAAATAAAACATACATATTTAAGAATGAATATTTGAATAAAACATATGTATTCATATTTTTTTATTCACATATGAATATGTTTTGTTATATTCATATGTGAATAGAACATATATAAAAGTCATTATTGTTGTATTCACATTTGAATAATGTATGTATGGCAGCAAGCTATCTTCTATTCATATGTGAATATAACATACATATTCAAGAATGAATATTTGAATAAAACATATGTATTCATATTTTTTTATTCACATATGAATATGTTTTGTTATATTCATATGTGAATAGAACATATATAAAAGTCATTATTGTTGTATTCACATTTGAATAATGTATATATGGCAGCGAGCTACCTTCTATTCATATATGAATATAACATACATATTAACGAATGAATATTTGAATAAAACATATGTATTCATATTTTTTTATTCACATATGAATATGTTTTGTTACATTCATATGTGAATAGAACATATATAAAAGTCATTATTGTTTTATTCACATTTGAATAATGTATGTATGACATCAAGCTATTTTCTATTCATACGTGAATATAACATACATATTCAAGAATGAATATTTGAATAAAACATATGTATTCATATTTTTTTATTCACATATTAATATGTTTTGTTATATTCATATGTGAATAGAACATATATAAAAGTCAATCTTGTTGTATTCACATTTTAATAATGTATGTATGGCAACAAGTTATCTTCTATTCATATGTGAATATAACATACACATTCACGAATGAATATTAGTTTAGCTTGTGTTCAGAAGTAAACAAACCATATTTTATTTACCTTTTTGATTTGTTCTTGGTTTTCGTTTATATGTATTCTTCACTGTTGGTGTTGTTTTTGTAAGGGTAAATAGTTAATATTAGGAAAACATAACCGAAATGTGAAGTAACCTTTTGTATTTTGACATAATAGTTTTGAATAAAGATGAAAAATGAAGAGATGATGTAAAAACATTTATATATCAAATAATAATGGATGATTCTTACAAAAATTTCAACTAAATAAAGTAATAACGAAGGAGGGTTACGAGAATAAACGAGTATCATAAATTTCAAGTAAAATTGAAGTAAACAACCTTTTTTTGAAGAATGAACAGTGTGAAAACAATGTTTTTAGTTCTAAATCAACTAATAATTTTCAAACATTACGAGAAATTTCAAGTAATCAAGTGATTATTTTAGAAATGATTCGAAATCGTTAAAAACTCGAGAAAAAACGCCGATGGTTACCTTTCATTGTCAAGAGTAAGGAAATGGTCTCGTTCATGTTTTCATCGGAAGACATGTTTCTTCGTTTATGTTATTTGATGCTTCTGCAAATGTTTTTCTTCTTGTCGATTCTTCTTCAAATGGTTTTCGTGTTATGGTGTATCGAAGAGGGAAATTATACTTTTCTATCGAGATTTGACGTGATATCAAATTACTCAAGTGCCCTGACGGTTTAATGTTTTTTGATTATTTACAAATTTGCCACCGCTCATTAATGGATTTGGATTATTTATAATTTTGCCACCGTACATGTTTTAAGCTCATTAAATGATTGGCTGAGATTGGTTCCCCTATTCTCAACCTTTTTTTCTCAATTGAACCCTCCTATATATATATATATATATATATATATATATATATATATATATATATATATATATATATATATAATGTAACTTTCAAATACATAATTGTACGTAGCTATTAAATTAGATAGACAATCGAACATATGATCCTATCCGAGAGCAATCAATAAAACAAGAACCATGTTATGAGGCCTAGACCATAGTTCTCATGCTATCCAATTTAAACTACATACAATCTCTACGACATTCACTTATCGACCAATCATTACACCCATCCAATCATGATACATAGCAGTACCATACAATCAATCAATCACATATATAACAAAGACTACGTAGTGTACTAGCATATTCATACCCTAACAGTAACTATATCGTCAAGTAGCATATCTGAAACATAATAGTAACTATATCCTATCAAATAAAGGATATACAATTTCACACATAATATAATGACAAAACTCAATCAAAACTAACTAATAAACCACAAGCCTTGTGTGCATGCCGACTATAACGACCTGAATTTTTCACACTAAGCATTCTAGGGATATATCAGAGTCTTTATAAAAATTAAAGAATTATATTAAATCAAAAAAAATTACATCCTATGCAAATATCAGGTTTATAATAAAATTATAAAGTAAGGGTATACTAAAAATAAAACTACTTCTAGTCCAAGTCCTCATGCTCATATCTTCTCACGTACAACGAATATAACCTGAACCTGCAAAACATGAAAATATCTACAAATTTCAGACCACAGGTCTAGCGAGTTATATTCTATATGTTTTCATGGTATCATATTCTTATTCTTATCTTTTTTTTGTTTACATATTATAACATTCTTTTCTCTTCTTCCTCATACTCTGTATATCTAATATTTTTTTTCATAACTTACTCAGTTATTCTTTCTTTTTACATACTCCCCTGTTCAAATCTTACATTCTCATCTCATACTCTTTCTTAGCCTCTTCTTAGGCTCATCTCCCACTCTTCTCATACTCTATGCTCACTTCTTATTATCTCATCTCACATCTTGTTCATGAACTATTCTTCTTTATGTTTACTTCTCTTATAGTTGTCTCATTTCATCTCTTATCTTGTCCTTTCTTCTTATCTCATATCACATCTTTTCATTTTGTCCCACTCTATCTATATCTCTTCTTATACCATTCTATCTCTCACCTCTAACTCTTTTCTTAATTTAGGACATACTTTCTCCTCTCTCTTTGTCCCAACTAACTTTCTATTCTCATCTAGAACCAACGGTCCTAATCTTATATGATAGTTTCATCTATTATATAGGAAAATGACATCACCCTATCACTACCGAGTACACTTGTAACATCTGTTCCAAGTAAATGATTCATCTATGCTTTTAGCAATTAAAGAAGTAAAATGTGGGTTTTTTGATGACCACGACGTGTTGGAGGATACACCACGGCATAGTTACAGCCTTATGAAATTCACATCATTCTTGTGCACCACGATGTGGAAAGGTTATGGCCAGGACGTGGTGGTCCCATAGTGCCAACCATAATTTTCTAGCTTTTGGGCGTTATTTAAGGGATATGATGGCTAGGTTTTTCACACCCTTAGCCTCTAACACCTTCCATCAGCCTTGAAGAAATGCTAATCTCCATTTTTTTACCATGTAATCTCTTTGTGGTGATTTTAGCCTCTTGAAGAAGAAGAAGAAGAAGTATGTGTTCTTGGTACATTGTTTCTATAAGTAATACTCTCCTTCATCATCTTCTACTGTTTTAGGAATCTTATAAGTCCTCTAGATCCTTCCTTTATGTGTCAAGAATGATACATCTAAGTTTTTATCCATTTTCATACATTTTTGGGGGGTTTGAATGCATGGACTCCATATATTTGGCAACTTTATGGGTGCTTGAGGTTCCGTTTTATTCTATTGTCCCAGATCTAGAGAGAGGTTGAGTTTTGGGTTCAAGGATGAGTTTTTGATCTCGTTTCCCTCCATTTTGACCTAACTTGTGCCCAATACATGCATTGGACATGCATATCTAAAAATCAATGATTTTTATGATGCTTTGAAGAGGAGAAAGCCTTCTAAAATGTTTGGGTGAACAACTTGAACGATTAAGAGCTTAATGAATTAAGATGTCCAGAGCAGTTTCCACTACGTGTTGGATTGACCACCACGACATGGTGATGGGAATCCTCGTCATTGATTTGTCCTACTGCTGCCACGACGTGGCCAAAGGGTGTCCACGATGTGGGGTTTCGTTGGGACTGACTTTCAACGTTGACTTTTTGACCATCGTTGACTTTGATCAACTTCAAGGTTTTAGGGTGTAGACTGAGAGGGTACTCACATATTGTGTTTAGCTGTCTCATAGTACCAGTATTCACTATCAGATAGTTGTTGTGTTAGTCTTCTATTTGTGAGGTGAGTCTTCTCACTATATTACCCTAGTATGCCCAGCGTACTCTTGAGTATACCTAGCGTACTA